GAAGTATCTCCAGTTATTCACAATGAATTTGATAACTAAGGTTATTAAAACCCATTTCCATGTCGATTCCATCTTAATAGCTCATTCATTCACATTATTTTTTAGATTTGTACAGTAATTATAGGGGAGGAAAATTGTTTATAACATATTGAAGTACTCTTAGATAAAATAATTCCTTATCGCTGTGCCTATTCAAAATCAGACATACAAATAAATCCTCTTTGGATAATTTATTAAATGTAACTTCAGCCTCACATAAATATACAATTCAGAGAGCTTTTGGTCAAAAAAATTAAAAGAATGATTAGTCCTTTATTTAGTTAACCTTCCTGCATTTTATGAGCAGAATTATAAATTGTAACACCTGGATCTCTAAATTATAATTGCTCCATAACTTATATAGATTATAACTTCCTTTAATATTTATAGAAAAAAAGAAAAAAAATTTTTCACTTGGTACCTAACATTTCTGAGGGTTGTAATGTTAGTGTGCGCGCGAGCGCACACACACACACACACACACATACAGAAACTGTCTCTTTTTCCACAGAACTGAAATTTTCCATTTGTGTGTTTGTGTAACTTCTCTTTGTGTATAAATCCATTATTCACTGGGGATGAGGTAAGATATCATATGAAAAATCTCATCAACATTCTATAAGCAAACATCAATCACTATTTAAGTCAATCAAGGATTGACCCAGAATGTAGTTCATTGCAATAGTTTAAAAAGTACTTCGAAAGCTTTCGAGGATGTACAACCTAAGATCTTTCACACTGTAGAGCTGAGGATGCTGGTAGAACTGGCCCTCATGAGCCTCAACAGAAACCTAAAATACAGAAGAACTTCCCTTGGTGGGATCTGTTGCCATGTCTTTTCTAAAGAAGTAAAGCGAAAACTATTCATGAGAGGCTTACAAAGTTTTCAAGATAAATGAATAAATATAAAAATCATTAGCTCAGATCATAAAAACAGAAAGAAAATAGCTCATGGAATGCTGAACTGCTGCAGAAAGAAGTCTTACTGATGCAGCAACACATTCGTTGACAGTGTCAGCTATGAAATAGAACGATGGATCAGGAGTCCAGAGAGGGGAACCCAGAGTCCAGGGAAGTCAACTGCTCTGGAGAACTGTTATTAAGGAGTAGCAAAAATGGTGATGTCCAAGATTTTGTGCAGATACCCTGCTGTATTTAACAATTGCTGTATAACTCAAACCTCTGTATGTCCCTTGTTTTTGTTTTTTTTTGTTTGTTTGTTTTCATTTTTCAAGTAATAACCCCTTTGTTCTTGTTCCACCGTGGCGCATTAAGCATGTGGAAGACACAGACCTCATTCTTTTAGCTTACATGTCTTCAGAGTGGAAGGAAACATCCTGGAGAAACTCCACTCAGGGGTACATTCAGAGTCCTTGTCCTTTCCACACTTGGATGTAGTCCAGATCCAAAGCCTATAGAATAAAGACAGGCACATAGGGCTGGGAATTTACCTCAGTGGTTCTGCCGCCTGCCTCCCAAGCACAAGGTTCTGAGTTCAGTCCCTGGTACCAAAAACAAACAAACAAACAAAAGACAGACACATAGTAAGTACTCTACAAACACTTGTTTAATGACTGAAGAGAAAAGTAGACTATGAAAGTACTATTTATTATAATTGGCAAATGAGTGAGAGTTTGTTCTCTGTTAGAACTATCTGAGCTGTCCCCCTAACACTTGCAAACTCTCCTTAGCTACAGTTGCTGGTCAGTAAGTAAATTAAAAAGAAATGTCTCGGAAAAATAACTTCTTCACTCAATATTAAGCTCTACACTTTAACAAATTTTAAATAGTCTTTTAATATTTGCATTTTCCTACAAATGCTTTTCTAACAGAGATCAAAGCTAATATTCCAGAATCATACTACCAATGATTCTTACATCATGTCTGTTTCAATTTAGGAAAATTATCCAAATTCTATGCGGAGTTTCCATACTTCAAACAAGAGAACAAATAATTTAACTATATTTATCATTTCTAATTTGCAGATTATATTGAAATTAAAAGGTGGTATTATATACACATTAACAACTAGAAAGACTATACTCATGCCATTTTGAAAATAATTTGTTTCTATGTCAAACACAGTAGAGTTTTATTTCAGATAAATAAATGAAAAATTTTCAGGCATGTCTAACAACAATGTAGAAGTTCTGCAAAATACGTTACCATCACAACAGTCCAAAACCTAACTAACATTTTTTTCATATTGTATTCTAAAACCATTTCCATTGATCATCATTCAGAGTGAAATGCTTTGCTTTGTGTTACTTTGCTATCTTTCTATTACAGTCTTGGTAACCTTTACAAGATTCTATTATCTCTCACTATATTTGTCACAACTAAGAAATTTGAAAGTAAAAGGGTTTGTACCATTCAATTTACATATTTCTGAAAAGGTTAACAAGATATCACTAGTGTGAGGCCTTTGGAAAATTTGATGACAATTTTCAGCATCCTTTTCCAAATGAATATATTGAGATATTGACACAAGAAAATCTCTCAGTGCTGGGCATGGTGGGGCATGCCTGCAATCCCAGCACTCGGGAGGCTGAGGCAGGGGGATCACTGTGAGTTTGAGACTGGCCGGGGCTACACAGTGAGTTCCAGGTCAGTCTCACTACATAAGTGAGACCCTGTTTCAAAAAACAAAACAAAACAAAAAAATCTCTCAAGAGAATTAAGTACAAAAATAGCTTAACTTCTACTTCTTATGGAAGTAATCTTAAATGTCAGCCTTAAAATAGAAAGGAACTCTACGTATTCATTGTCAATCTACTATTACACAGAGTCAACCAAAAAATGTATAAACAGTTCAGGCAAAGAAAAACTGGAATAAATATATTAATACTAAATTTAGTTCTCTTAATGTTACTCAAAAAGGTGTCATTCTGAGATTTAAGACATAATTTTTCTAAAAAAATTATTAGTTATTCTGACATCTTAATATATCTTAGTTGGATGTGACTTAAATTTCCCGGGGCATAGTTGAGACATTTCATTGTTCCAAATAGTCTTAAAAAGATAATGCATTATTCAAAGGAGTGTCAAAGAGTCAAAAGGGAAAAGACAGAGACAATACATGCATGTTTATAAAACTGCTGGTAATACAACTCATGTGTTTATGTCTAGCAACCATCAATGCATGGCAAATGCCTGACAGAATTTAAACTTGAACATACTTTCCTACAGGGGGTCAGACCTTTGAGTCTTAAAGTTAAAAAACTTGGTTGTGATTTAAATTACTTACATCAAGTAATTTTAAAAGCCCATATGCTTAAATCTCTCAAAGTGCAAAGGAGTTTAGAAATGTTGTACAAGACTGATCTGAGCCAAACTAAAATAAAGCCTGTCCTCTTAAAGCTGATCTTAATGTGGGGAATTAAAACCCTGAAAACACATTTTTTTCTACAGATAAACTTTCATAGAAACCATGGTAGAGAGGAAAACGGGCTTTTGATTGTATACTGGCGGTGGGGGTGGGAGAATATCCCAAGTTTTTCATATACTTGAATATCAAACTCAGAGTTACTTTTGTGAAAGAGGCAGAGTTGGCCTTCAAAAGCTTCAGTCTATTTCTGAAGGTTTTTACTGACATTATGGTCCAGTTTTAGGGGAAAAATTCACAGGAAAGTCAGATTGTAGATTGTGAGAAGGAAACTCTGAGGTGGTGAGTTTTCTCCAACATCAGGATTATGAAGTTCGATTGAGGGCCTGGATGGCTCCTTCCACTGATCCTAACTGAATGAGTGCCATTTGCAATCTTTCTGAAAGAATTTGAAAGCCTTCACGGAACATCCAGCCTCTGTGAAGAGCTTCTTCAGATCATCCACTGTGACAGAAGGGGGAACGTTGGAAAGATGCGGTGTGGCTGACAGTGGAAAAAATATTCTGGAAGATTTTAGAGCCAGGCTTTTTAAAGCAATGCAAAGGACTACTGCTGAAATCCTTAGTCGGACCTTGGTCTTCTTGTCCCTGCCAAGGAAGCTGAACTGTGCAGTGTCTGCACAGTGCAGCATGGAGCACTTTTCTATGAAGTCTCTGACCACTTAGATGGCTCATTGCTAGCTGGGCTTGACTGGCATCTGCCATCTGAACCAAGGCAGTCTCCATTTATTAAACATCATCTTCACTCAGTGCACATCACCGTATACTCCAAATAGGATAAAAAGTCCATGTGGTGTGATGAGATCAGGACTGAGATTGGTGACAAGTAGAGCAGAACTTCCTGGTTCACCACATGCCCCAGAAATGCCATCCTTCCAGTGATGATAGCAGAAGAGGCCAGTACAAGTGGACCAAGGGCTCCAGGAACAGCTGAGACAAACAGACTTGTAGCTTGAGAAAGTTCAATGGCTGGGACAAATCCTGCAGCCCCTGCATTTGGTGAAGATATTATACCTGGTGCATCAAAGGCAGCAGCCACAGGGGGGTCAAGAGATGACTGGCCATCACCAGAAGGAAGGTCTAAGCGAGTGCAGTCTCTGCTTTTGTCATTATTACGTTTCGCATTAAGGCTGGTGAGCTTGGAGAAGTCAGGATGCGGAGTGCAGCATGCATTCCAGATATTCTGGCCATCCAGAGCCATCCTGGCATAACTTGTGTTCACTGGGTCAGCATCCTGAAGCAGCGCTTGAAATTGGTTATTCTTTGTAAAGGTGAAACTATCTGATGAAGAACTTCCAGAGCAACAGGGTAAAAGAGGTTTTCCATAATAATTCGGAATACAGGACTCTGGCCCGGGAGGACTGCAGCTTCCTTTGAAGGAGCCCCAACGAGGGCCCCATTTCCTGAATGGGCAGCACTGACCGCCTGCAGTGCCGCTTGGGCGCCAGCTTGATTAGGCGGATTGTCAAGTTTAAGTGAGTCTAGTCTCTGTGATTAGAATGCTGAATCTAAACGGGCTGGCTTCGAAGATGAGCAGGAACGAGGGCGTCATAATTTACCATAGTAACGGCAGCTTCCGCAGAAGCCATTTCTAAGAAAGCCTGGCTTCTTCCTTTCAGCATCAAATGGTTAGTTACTTTGCCAAACGGAAGTCCTAAAGGTATGACCTCCTTTGCGGCGACACCACATGGGATTTCTTCACAGATGGAGAACCGGAGAAGGCGAAGAGGGAGGCCTATCGCCTTTAAGTTTCTTGTTGCCATTCCCTTTAGCAGACACCACTGTAGAAGGACCAGAGCTGTTCCTGGTAGAAGGGCTGTTACTGACACCGCAACAAAGAAGCTCATGAATCTCTGCCATCCATGGCCCCTGTCGCCTCCAGCGCAGGAAGCAGGCGGTGACAGCAAGGCGGCTCCGGGAAAGGTAGGTAGAGGGAGAGTGGGAAATGGGAGGGGACCGGGCACCAATACTCAATTTAATTAGAAGTCATGAGATTAATACAAGTTACCTTTGTCCTCTTTAATCACAAGAGGTGCTCAAGCTGGTGGCCATGAGCTTCCAGACATTTATTAGTATGGTAACTGCTGCTTGGTTAGCCTTGGTCATCGAGATTACTGCACACACATTTTCAATTTCTTCTCTAAGCGCCAGCAGGGTAGTGGGTTTCTGCAATGCACTACGCCCTGTAGGATCCCGCATGTGAGGGTTACACCATCTGTTGAAAAAACATCGTACTATTTTTCTTTTCCAGAAATACATAAGTGAAAATCAGAGCTAAATTAATAAAGCCTCATCCTTACACTGAAATAGTAAGTGGCCCCTAAACATTAGTTATGTACGTGTACCCACTCCCCACAATGAATATAATTATTATGTACTGCAAACATGTGCTAATAAAAATTTAAAAATTAGTTCTCCCAAAGTGTGGTTGGAAAAGAGAAAGTGTTTACTATATATCTATTTTATTTTATAACCAGTATATTACATCTAGATTAATAAGTATCAACATATAATTATATTATTGTAATTTCACATTATACACACATTGTCACTAAGTGTTAAAGGCATAACATGAATGTGATAGTACTGTGACTGAATATAGAACAGCTACACGTATGTGTGTATAAATGAACCCGCCATTATGTACACAGGTGTATGAGCCTTCATCCATATACAGAGAGACCATAAACTCATATTAAATATATCATTGTATTATTTTTCATTACCTTTGGGAAATCTTTTTATTGAATATCTTGTTATACTATTTATTGACTACATTGCACAATACTTTTTAGAATAGGGACTCAAAGTCTACTTTTTCCACGAAATGTTCCGATAATCGCGACACCTCTCTGAACTTACGTAGCTCTTGTACTTTGCAGTTACCTTCAGCCTGGCTTACTTTTTTCCTGTAACATAAACGATAAAGTTCCTAGAGCAACATTAACTCTTTTCAAACTCAGGGGGAGGGAGAAAGAATTCTAATCCTGGATTAATGTCTGCCCTTTCAAATTATCTTCCCAATCCAACTGATTGGGCTAAATCCGGACAAACCTTTATACTTTAAAAGATTTCCAGTCCTACTCCATGCCCTTAATGCCTGGCAACATCTTAAATTACAGTTCCTGAAATAGCCTTACTATAATTTGCTTAGAAATTTAGGGTGCACCTTTGAAAGTTAGGTGGGCATCATTAATTAATGTGATCTGGATCTGGCTAGGTTAGAATTCCAGCTTTGTTACCTGGATCTATGAAACCTGGCCTGGTTGCCTCAACTTTTTAAAAAATTCACGATAATGACTATGCCACAAGGAAGTTTTTAAAGATTAACTACACTTAAAGTACATAAACCTGATCTGGCACATGTAAGAGAGCCATGACATAGTTAATTCATTTACACTTATTATAATTACCCTCAAATTTATAGGGTATATGAAAAAAGCAGACCCAAAACAAAATTAATCTTTTTAAAAAATGAAATAAATGCTGAGTAATTACTCATACAATAATGATTTCTATAAACACATCCTTCTTTAAAAGAAACCATGGAAAGGTAAGAGATTGACTTATTTTAAAAGATTATTTAGGCTACCAATGTTAGGCTTTTAAAAATTATTTTAAGGAACAAGTCAATCCTTTGTTAGTCATTCCGCTACTGAATCAAATGGAACTCACTTGTCTTTCCTTGTTGTGCTACATAAAAGGGCAAAATGATAATGAGCAGCTTTAAATGTTAGCCACCCACAATGATCAAATAAATTCTTACTGTCCATCTGGAATCTTCAGTTGATCATTTTAGAGAAATAAATAAAACATATTTGGGAAAATGAAAGACTTCCAAATACATAAAATCAATTTCACTAAGGAGAATGACCATTTAAAATCAGTTATGTTATAGAATTTAATTAAGGGAGAGCAACTGAATGATCTCTTTGCTTTCTTAAATTATATTCCTTTGCATAAAATTTTATTATCTTGAAAAATAAGTAGCCACAATAGGGTCATGGGCCATCGTTTTGCCTTCAGGCAATCTGAATTCATTCATCTATTGAGTCAAAACGGGGTTGTCAAGTCTTCTCTTACTGCTCTGCATGAAAGGGGCCTGGTGCATTGGATGCGGCAACTCCAGCTAACTCTATATCCCGTGATGTACTTCGAACAACAAAAAGGGATTAAAGTTTATTCCCCATTTGTCAGCAGATAATCTACATACGTAATTATATAAAGTAAAAATGTATTTGATCAATGTTTCGTTATTGCTAACATATGGTGCATTGCTATGTTTGTTTCCATACAGATAATTCTATAATTTTTTAACCATTCTATATCACTTACCTGATTTCTTAATTTCTACACTTTTTCATTTGCAATTTTTAGCATATATTAAATGTATCATATTTAAAATGATTCAATGGAATTATGCCATTTGTTATTGTGCTCAACAGTTGCCATTTTTGGACAGAAAGGAAAGGTTAACATTATAAATGTCTAAATTCTAAGTGATAGTTCTTTTAGAAAACAGTTTATGCTTAAGGGAAATAAGTGTTGTAAATTGTTTAATAGATCGACAAATTCATAGTGTGGATCCAAAGCATATAGTGATTTCAAAGCGATTTTAACTAAATTTTAATTAATTAGATGCATGTATTTTATATTCACCAAGAACTTATTTAATAAAATCTTTGTCTCTTTGCACTGTTATGTCCACTATTTATAATATAATTCACTCAAACAGCTATCTTGTCCAATGTAAACATTTGTATGTGGTAGCAAATACTTTGATTCAAGCTTTTCATCTATTTCCAAAGTGTGACTAAACCAGTCCGCTTAGCAGTCATTGAAGATGAAAAAATAAAAAACTTCAATTCTTTAAACAACTCTGAGTTCTATGTTGAGGATCATTAAGATCATACAACAATAAAATTCACCAAGAAGTCTTTGTATTTCCCTTTGCTCAGGGAGAAGAAAAGGTCAAAGGTAGGTGAAATGAACACATATTTTAAATATTATAAAATAATTTAAAATTTGGGAGCTAAGAATAGTTGTCTCATAGAAGAAGTGAGTAAAACAGAACTAACTTGAGATGGAAGCACCAAGAAAATAAGAGTGGAGAGAGGTTAGATATAGCTACTGAAGTCACTTAGGAGCAATTTGTTTTGGTGCTCTATAGCCTAGCAGAGTGACTACAGTCTACCATGACCCACATTACCTTTCAAAGTAAATATAAAACAAGAATCCAAAATTTCTCAACATGTGGGAATGGTCAAGATTTCAAGGGCTAAAAATGCCCATTACCCTAATTTGATCACCACATCATATACATATGTAGAATTTCATATTACACCATAAACACATGCAAATATCACATGTCAATGAAAATATTTTCTCTCACAAAAATAGCCAGATAAGCTACTATTTAAACTGCATTGAAAATTACAAATACTTATGGAAATGGATGTATTTTCTTCCCTACATCTCTTAAGAACCACTACAAATTCTTTGCAAGTGTAAAAATGAGAGCTACAAAGATTAATTTTTCATTGGACATAATTTGTTCTTCTAGGGTACTATTTTTGTTATTGAAATGTAATTTGTTAATAATTACATTTGACTCTCATTAGATTTGGAACGTTTAACTAAGTTTCTTTTTTTTAAAATCCTGTTTACACTTTGACCTCTGTGATTGGAGTCAGTGTGGAGACAGAATGCTCCTATTAACTTAGTGTCTTCCTCACCAGGATTGCTAACCCCAAAAGCCCCTTTCTTGACCCCACGGTCTACTTCAAATGCTCACGCTTAGTCAAGTAATCATTTAGAATATTTTCATGTCTTGCTTTTCTCATTAGTCCAAATACCTTCATTCATAACCACCTCTTAGTTCTGTAATGCATCATTTCTCCACCCCCAGAACCACTTCAGAGCTCCGTTATGTGCTATTTCTCTCCTTCCACCAGAGTCTTCCTTTTCATTGTCTTGCCCTTGTGCTGCTCCTGTCCAGTACAGTATATTCTCCATAATCAGTGAGTGTTTCTAAACACGCAGTGGAAAACTCCTCAAACTTTTTTTTTATTATTGTTTATTGGTACATTTTAGGTATACAGTACAGTTACATTCATCATTGGGATCTTGTACCTTTACACGACAGGTCTTGGTTCTCATTTTTTCCACTTGTCCCTGCCCTCCCTTCACCCTCTCTTCCCCTCCCCATTTACAAACTCTTTATTTCCATTTTTTCATTTTCTCATATTTTTTTCTTTTCCCTTATTCCCTTTCCCCTACCCTTCCCACTTTCCCTACAGCTTTAGCCCTTTTCTTCCAATTTCACATTGTCAATTATCTCATTAGGATCTTATGTAGTATTATAATTTTTCACACCAGAGAAACTATTCGGTATTTACACATGTGTGACTTATTTATTTGACTTAGTAGTATATCCTCAATATGTATCCATTTTCCTGTGAATGAATCTAATTTCTCATTCTTTATGGCTGAGTAGTATTCCATTACAGAAAAACCACATCTTCTTTACCCAGTTTCTTTTTGAACTACTCTAAATTCAAATTCTCCAACAAGGCCGGCTAAAAACTTTGTGCTCATTGCTCCTGCTTACTGTTTTGTTAATAAGTGTCCAAACACTTACCACAACTCATCCAGTTGTGAGTCTCTGACTCTGGATGGATGATGAGGTCCTGTAACCAGTAATGTGATATGGCAGCTTGACTGGGTGAAGAAACCCCTAGCAGATTAATAACACAGTTCTGGGTGTGTCGGTGGGGTATCTCCCGAGATTACTGGCATATAGGCCAACAGGCAGAGGAGGGAAACCCATTGCACTTGTGGTTGGCCCCATCAATAGCCTAGATGGAATAAAAAGAAAAGAAGGAAGTTGATGCATTTTGAAGAGTTTCAGTCTGCTTAAGCCA